CCTGTCATTGCAGTGCCGCGGCGCCGATTGTGCACACGGTCAGGGAAAACCCGGTTCCGTTTTACCGTGCACAGAAACATTCCTGCCAATAGCATGTACGTTTTATACGAACGCTATAGCGTCAAATGACACGGCTAATCCATGGGCAACGTTTTCGTTTTAGCCACTCGAGTGGCGCTCCGTTTGAATGCCAAAATTTAGCCCCGGGTCGCTCATTGCTCTTGAAGAACTCTGACGGGCTGGAACGCCAAATTTTGGCATTCCCAGGGGGTACAAGGCCTGAAGGTCACATTTGGGCATTCAAGCGCCACAGGAGTGGCAAGGAAACATAAAACATACTAATCTATTCGCAGTGCGGAGAATCAGTGATTGTTGTCTATGATTGCTCCCCCACCTCGCCCTTTAAAGTCTGCTAGTTGCGGGGCGCCCGTGACAAATTTTTATTGATTGAAAGATGATGTGTTTGAATAATTGTTCCAGGACACGTGACAGCGGCATTGATTCTCTGCCCCCCCCCCCCCCCCCGGTTAAAGTCTTGCTGACGTGTTTCGCGCTGAGCAATGGCAGGGTCCGGCCTCGAGCGGCTCAGTCCATTGCCAACGTGAGCACCAATGCCTCTCTTCGTATTTTTTGTGTATTTCGGCGTTCGAATGAACCTCGTAACAGCGCTGCCCCCTCAGGTAATGTCAGGTACACTGTATTGGTGTGGCGCCCCGTTCGCTCGCATCAACGCTCGCGTGTGATAAATATGTTGCACAATTAACACTGAAGGCCTTGGTGCATATTCAGTGCGCACTGAGATTTTCAGTGAAGGCCTGAGAGAGGATTGTCTCCGGCTGCCCAAAAAGCCATGACTTTTTGTAAGGGAGGGTGGGGCAGTTTGAAACAGAATTTGGAATTTCGTTATTATAATCGTACTGTTGGTCTATATTCTGCGTGTTTGCACTAGATTACTAGAATGACTCGTTATCTAGACTAGAAAACGCCCCCAGACGCTCACAAGTTCGTTCAACGTTAATAATAAGGTGAAACTCCAACCCTCGCATCTGTTTCAAACTGCCCCAGGCCGGGGCAGTTTGAAACAGCGATGGGGCAGTTTTAAACAGCTGTATGGAAGTCAACACGGGCCAAGAAGAGCCGCGTACACAACTCAAATAGATTCAAAAAGACTCAAATAGACGTTGCCATGCAAGTGCTGACATTTTGACGAACTTTTTCAACATTTTTAATAATTATTTAAAAGCCAAAAAAGCACTTTTTTTCAAAATGCGGATTTATTAAATAATTTTATGGCAATGGATTCGTCTCAGAGAGACGAACAAAAGTTGTTAACACACAGTACTGTTTTGAGTTGAAATAAGGCCGTTTTTGACCCGCAAAGTTTACAACATACAACAGTCAGTAAATTTTTCATTTTGATGCAAGTCACGGGTCAAACATACGACGTCTCCCTTGATGCCATCTGGAATTACGAACTTCCATCATTATACTCGCTTTCCACAAAAATAAAACGTTTTTCCCCGTGATATTGCTGTGTTTCTAACTGCCCCATCCACTTCTGTTTCAAACTGCCCCAGAGGGCACCATTCCAGTTGCGCTGCTCCCCGCCGGACTTGGTGAGGGCTATGTCAGTGTCCAAGGGTGCATTACGCTTGGTACTAAAAAATGAATTAAAAGCGCGGGGCATGATCGCTTACTAGCGAAACCCAGACGGAAACTCCCGTGACTTCGAAATTTAAGTTTAGGCCAATTTCAATGTTACCGAAGTTTCACCTTTTTCCCAAGGCCCCTAAAGTGTACCGTTGACGACCGTGTCGATCGCAAATCAGTAAGATCATGAAAATAGAAGATTGTGCACACTCACATTTCCTTCGGCAGCCCTCATTGCTTTAATATTAGTGGGTTTGTTTCAAAATGCCCCCCCCCTCCCTTAACACATGCAGACCATTTCTTTTCATATAAAATGTTGTGAACCAAAAAAATTTCCACGTATGCAGGTTTCATCCAGTTTGCTTTGTTTAAAATTTGATTTAAAAAATTTAAAAAAGGACATACACAAGTTTGAAATCCGTTTTAAAAAAATCTTTAGGTTTTCTTTTTCATTTCCCATCCAAACTTATGGCATGCCAACAATTTTTCTGTGTCTAGTCGAGATGAAACAAAATGACGAAATGTCACGTTCTTTGAGCATTGTGTCACGTCACATTCATTTCAAAGATGTCACCTTCCTGGATTGCACTCTCGTCCCAGGAACGTGACATCACGTTAAACTCACGTTCGTTTGAATGTGAGCAGGCTAATTTTTGGACACCCTTTCCAACCCCTCGTTGAAAAGGTTTTGCTGAGACCAATCGAAATCTGCAATAAATTTTTTTAGTCGGTCGACCCCCTTTTTTGAAGATCCTGATCGGGCCAACTTGTAAAGCGGCCGATGGGGTCAGGACCAGGTCCATTCATCTTGTCTCGTCGCCCCGATTCCAAAAATACCCTATGTGCCCTGCTAGCACTAATAATGGCGGAAATCCCCCTCCCGGTCATGTAAACCATGATGCACCTGCAGCAGCCCTTGTGCGACCCGGACGGGATTTGCACCACCGGATTATTTGTTTGGACGGTACTCCTGAAGTACTCTCCAAATCTGGTTACTCTAGCTCAACTCCTTCCTTGTACACAGACGCCAACAACAACAACACACAGGCCCTCCCCCTATTTTTGGCCCGTCCCGTTTATTTTTTGTAAAAAAATGACGGAGGGACGGGCATATAGTATGATGCATGCTGTGCGTCCGTTCGTTCGTTCGTTCGTTCGTTCGTTCGTTCGTTCGTCCGAGGACTTCCCGTGGTCCGATCTTGACCAAATTTGGTATGCAGCCTCCTTGGGTGACCCTAAGAACCGCCCGGTGGCAGCAAATCCGATCCGAGCCCCGGGGGCGCTGCTGCAGGTGCATCATGGTCTACATGGGGTCGAGGAGGATCTCGGCAACGGATGCAGCTAGCAGGGCATGTAGGGGTATTTTTGGAATCGGTGCGACGAGAAAAAACCAATGGTGCCACTTTCGAACGAATCGGAGAAGTTCGGACCCGGGTTCAAATCCCAGTGGGGTATTTTCGGAACATTCTTTTTATTCGAGTTTTTGTTGCATTGTTTCTGATGTTTTTGAGGGTGCTGATGACGAAAACGACATTTATTTTGACCCTAGACCCTGGTTTAAATTCGTCAGGGTTAAACAAAGGCGAAATTCACACATTTGTTAATGTACGGGACGGGCCAAAGTTGCCGATGTATATCGCTACTTTTCCTGTTATTTGAATAGAAGGGCGGGCCAAAAAGGGGACCGACCGACTAAAAATTTTTATTCGCCCCATCGGTAGGTCTGGTCGAGACATTTCCGAAACTGTGCCGCAATCGGGTCCTCGTCACCGGCAACATCCTCAAAAACGATAAAATAGGCCTAAATTTAACAAAATCCACTCAATCTTCAAAAAAGGGGACCGACCGACTAAAAATTTTTATTCGCTCCATCGGTAGGTCTGGTCGAGACATTTCCGAAACTGTGCCGCAATCGGGTCTCCGTCACTGGCAACATCCTTAAAAAACGATTCAATAGGCCTAAATTCAACAAAATCCACTCAATCTTCAAAAAAAGGGACCGACCGATTAAAAAATTTTATTCGCCCCATCGGTAGGTCTGGTCGTGACATTTCCGAAACTGTGCCGCAATCGGGTTCCCGTCACCGGCAACATCCTCAAAACGATGAAATGGGCCTATATTGAACAAAATACAACCGTTTCCGAGCAGTTAAAGCCATGTAATATATTGCGTCTTAAACCTGGCCGGAGAAATCTGTAGAAATCAGAAATGAAAGACGCAAAAGAGACCCATTAGTTTGGCCTTCGGTCACATTGATCATAATGAACACAGATCTTATTCTTTTCAAAGCAGTCTTCAATATTTTCCGGACCTTGAATGCCGTTGACTGCCACAGTAGCCAATACAATACAAGCTATCTATTTGGGCAGTAATAGTACCTTAAAAATTAATGGTCAAAAGCAGTTAAATAGACCCTCCCAAAAAGCAGTACAGTTACTTCATTAGAAAATTTTCCTTTGGTCACCACGGACTTACTAATAATACTTCGGTACGCGCCCCACACATGCGGGGGTCTGGGGGCGGAGCCCCCAGCGAGCAGCGCGAGTAGATTATTATAATGTAAACTCAAGATCTAACCGATTAAGAATAATTGTGTGAAGATTCAAAGAATAAAGAATCAAGTGTGTTCTTACTGATAATAAATCAATAAAGAATCAAGAGTGCTCTTACTTGCAAGAATATCAATGTCAAAATTTCCCTTTCTCTGAACAAATAGTTGCCGGTGTATATCGCTACTTTTCCTGTCATTGCAGTGCCGCGGCGCCGATTGTGCACACGGTCAGGGAAAACCAGGTTCCGTTTTTACCGTGCACAGAAACATTCCTGCCAATAGCATGTACGTTCTTATACGAACGCTATAGCGTCAAATGACACGGCTAATCCATGGGCAACGTTTTCGTTTTAGCCACTCGAGTGGCGCTCCGTTTGAATGCCAAAATTTAGCCCGGATCGCTCATTGCTCTTGAAGAACTCTGACGGGCTGGAACGCCAAATTTTGGCATTCCCAGGGGGTACAAGGCCTGAAGGTCACATTTGGGCATTCAAGCGCCACAGGAGTGGCAAGGAAACATAAAACATACTAATCTATTCGCAGTGCGGAGAATCAGTGATTGTTGTCTATGATTGCTCCCCCACCTCGCCCTTTAAAGTCTGCTAGTTGCGGGGCGCCCGTGACAATTTTCATTGATTGAAAGATGATGTGTTTGAATAATTGTTCCAGGACACGTGACAGCGGCATTGATTCTCTGCCCCCCCCTCCCCCCCGGTTAAAGTCTTGCTGACGTGTTTCGCGCTGAGCAATGGCAGGGTCCGGCCTCGAGCGGCTCAGTCCATTGCCAACGTGAGCACCAATGCCTCTCTTCGTATTTTTTGTGTATTTCGGCGTTCGAATGAACCTCGTAACAGCGCTGCCCTCTCAGGTACATGTCAGGTACACTGTATTGGTGTGGCGCCCCGTTCGCTCGCATCAACGCTCGCGTGTGATAAATATGTTGCACAATTAACACTGAAGGCCTTGGTGCATATTCAGTGCGCACTGAGATTTTCAGTGAAGGCCTGAGAGAGGATTGTCTCCGGCTGCCAAATAGCCATGACTTTATGTAAGGGAGGGTGGGGCAGTTTGAAACAGAATTTGGAATTTCGTTATTATAATCGTACTGTTGGTCTATATTCTGCGTGTTTGCACTAGATTACTAGAATGACTCGTTATCTAGACTAGAAAACGCCCGCAGACGCTCACAAGTTCGTTCAACGTTAATAATAAGGTGAAACTCCAACCCTCGCATCTGTTTCAAACTGCCCCAGGCCGGGGCAGTTTGAAACAGCGATGGGGCAGTTTGAAACAGCTGTATGGAAGTCAATACGGGCCAAGAAGAGCCGCGTACACAACTCAAATAGATTCAAATAGACTCAAATAGACGTTGCCATGCAAGTGCTGACATTTTGACGAACTTTTTCAACATTTTTAATAATTATTTAAAAGCCAAAAAAGCACTTTTTTTCAAAATGCGGATTTATTAAATAATTGTATGGCAATGGATTCGTCTCAGAGAGACGAACAAAAGTTGTTAACACACAGTACTGTTTTTGAGTTGAAATAAGGCCGTTTTCGACCCGCAAAGTTTACAACATACAACAGTCAGTAAATTTTGCATTTTGATGCAAGTCACGGGTCAAACATACGACGTCTCCATTGATGCCATCTGGAATTACGAACTTCCATCATTATACTCGCTTTCCACAATATAAAACGTTTTTCCCAGTGATATTGCTGTGTTTCTAACTGCCCCATCCACTTCTGTTTCAAACTGCCCCAGAGGGCACCATTCCAGTTGCGCTGCTCCCCGCCGGACTTGGTGAGGGCTATGTCAGTGTCCAAGGGTGCATTACGCTTGGTACTAAAAGATGAATTAAAAGCGCGGGGCATGATCGCTTACTAGCGAAACCCAGACGGAAACTCCCGTGACTTCGAAATTTAAGTTTAGGCCAATTTCAATGTTACCGAAGTTTCACCTTTTTCCCAAGGCCACTAAAGTGTACCGTTGACGACCGTGTCGATCGCAAATCAGTAAGATCATGAAAATAGAAGATTGTGCACACTCACATTTCCTTCGGCAGCCCTCATTGCTTTAATATTAGTGTTTGTTTCAAACTGCCCCTGTTTCAAACTGCCCCACCCTCCCTTAACACATGCAGACCATTTCTTTTCATATAAAATGTTGTGAACCAAAATCTACCACGTATGCAGGTTTCATCCAGTTTGCTTTGTTAGTCCGATTTAGATAAAGGAACACACAGAATGTGAACACACAGATTTAAATAGGACATACACAAGTTTGAAATCCGTAAAAATATCTTTAGGTTTTCTTTTTCATTTCCCATCCAAACTTATGGCATGCCAACAATTTTTCTGTGTCTAGTCGAGATGAATACAAAATGACGAAATGTCACGTTCTTTGAGCATTGTGTCACGTCACATTCATTTCAACGATGTCACCTTCCTGGATTGCACTCTCGTCCCAGGAACGTGACATCACGTTAAACTCACGTTCGTTTGAATGTGAGCAGGCTAATTTTTGGCCGATTCACATCCAAACGAATATGACACAACGCTCAAACAAACGTGACATTTCGTCACGTTCTTTTCAACATGATGTCACGTTCCTGTAATGAGAGTGTGAAAGTTATCACCCTAGAACAGTGTCGAACAGTGTTGTGGTGTCACTATTACCGTGAACGCTGTTCGGTCGCCAGGCCCTGTGCAAGCAGTTGCCTCCCGGCCGCGAGCCTCGGCCGCAGGAGCTGGACGTGGTGTTGCGCCTGGTGGACGGTCAGTCCCGGTCCTGCCTGGGCGTCGTCGTGTCGGCGACGCACGTGGACCCGGACTCGGGCAAGATGGTGCACTTCCTGAGTCGGACAGGGTCGCCCGTCCGCATCCTCACGACCAAGTCCGTGGCGGTGGAGCCGCCATGGGAGCGATGCGACACGTATGTCGTTGTGCTGGGGCAACGGCTCGGGTCCGCGGGTCCGGGAGTGGCCGGTATGCACTGGACATGCACTCTAAAACCTTACGAAGTATTTGGAGCATGTGTCCGAACCAAAACTTGAGTTTTTATGGCCAAGAAAAACGATACACGCGCCGAAAATAACGCTCTTCTTTAACACGCTCCCAATTTTTTTTTTTAGGTACGAGGTAGCCTTACAGTATACCCAGGATTCAGCCGGCGCGAGATTCAATTCGCGTGGCCCTTTATGTATCTTGGAAATTTTCTATAGGATTTTAATGAGATTTTACAGACTAGTAGAACTTTGAACGCTGATTCTAATGCTGAAATGTGGTTAAAAAGTAAACGGCCAATTTTGAGAAATTTGCTGTCAAAATCGCTGTTTCCATGGCAAAACTCGACTCGTCAAGGAAAAAGGAAGGGAGTGGAGGGAGCCGAGCCGGACCCGAACAATAGCTGAGCTCCTTTTCGGCCCTGTACAGCTTACCCCAAAAGATAAAAAAGCACGTTCGAAATGAAAAATCTCTTTGACTGCAGCTAGAAGAGATCCAACAATAGAATTGATGTCGTTTCGAACGTGGCCATTTGGATCGGCCGGCCGGCCGAAATGAAAAATCTCTTTGACTGCAGCTAGAAGAGACCCAACAATAGAATTGATGTCGTTTCGAACGTGGCCATTTGAATCGGCCGGCCGGCCGGTGACTTTTTATGAGAGTGTCCCGCACCAATCCCGCACCGCTGCGTTGTTTTTGTTGTTGTTTTGTTGAAAAATTTTGTTACTCTTCAAATCGGAGTGAATTGAGCCATTTAACTGCGTACCTGTGCACATGCATCTGTGAATTATTGGCTGAGCGATAGCGAAGCCCGTTACTCAGGTGGGGTTGAAAAGTTTTTCCTGTCTGCGTGCGTGTGTGTGGGTGCGTGTGTGTCCGCACTACTCCTCCTGAACGGCTCGGCCGATTTTGGTGAGATTTTGCACACTTTTTTGGTATGTCCTTGGCTCGGCAAACGCGAAATTTCACTATCCTAGCTGAACTGGTTCAGTTTTTATAGCCGAAAAACACCTAAAAAACGGAGAAAAATCGGGTTTTCTGCAGGCAAATGCCTTCTGCCTTGAAGAAAGGGGGTTCTGGGTGGCGGAGCCCCCCAGTTGAAAAGAAACAAGGGTCAAGATCGTGTTATCTGTAGATGAAGCAACTCTATCTGGAATGAAGGGGGGTGTGGGGGGCGGAGCGCCCCAGCATGCAACAATTTAGAAGTAACCGACGATGGGCAAGCCATGGCCTGCCGAAGGCAGGCTAGCGCCGCAGGCCGAGGTAGGTACGCCAGGCGCGGATTGGAGGAACAGGCAGCGAGACATGGCGAAGCCTGTTACGACAAGACGCGGTCTGGCGTAAACCTACCTTGTCTTTCCTTAATGCAGTTTAAGAGTCGCTTTACGACTTTTAGTTTCTTTTTGAATAAGCTGGTCATGTAGCGAAGTTTGATGGTACTTCTGATTCAGTTAGCACTATGATCACACTGTTAAAAAAAATCTTAAAATTCAGACCAATTTTGTAAGACCTTGTGGTCTGATTTCTGAATTAAGACCAGAAGTATGCAAAAGAAGAATCCTCGGATGAAATTTAAGACTTTCGCAGTCTTAAAGGCAAATTCAGACCATCCAGACAAAAAGTCTGACAGGGGTGACTGAAAATTCAGACTAAGTACAAGACCATGTAGTCTGAATCGCCTTTTCAGACTATTCTCCTGAAAAGGAAGACCGATTGATCTTAAATTTCAAACTGGTTGTGTATTTTCAGACCATGGGTCTGAAACGGGAGACGTATTGTTCTGAAATGTCAGACTGGTTGCCTCACTTGACCAAATTTAACCGCAATATTCGAGAGCTCGATACAAAATCTTAAATATTCACGAACAGCCCAAGTTGTCCGCAGTTTAACTCCCGCAACACGCGTTTGGTTTGTTTATTTGTGGCCTCCTAGCGTCCAGCGAGCGCGCTTGGAGTCATCAGCATCCTGCAGCCGTCCTCTCAGAGCGGTCCCGTGGTGTAGTGGATAGCCCAGCGAGCCGACGAGCGAGGATTCGATGGTTCGAATACCAAGATATTCGGAGTTGCCGAGAGCACGGCCGATAAGTAACGCGCAAGTTCTATCAAAGACTTCTCTCGCAATGGAGTGAAGGTTCAACATTACAATTTTGTGTTTTTGTCTGAAGTTTCTTCAGACTGGCCGTGTCTAATAATTCAGACTAACTAAATCTTAATTTTCAGACCACCCAATTCTAAACTTTGAGACCACCCTATTCTAAATTTTCAGACCGCCGGAATGGTCTGAAATTTCAGAACCCCTTACTGTTAATTAACTTCAGTCAAATTTTGTCTGAAATTTCAGAATATTTTTTTTACAGTGCACTTCGCTCCACCTCGCGACTTTCAGTGCTCATATTCCTCGAACAAGACTCACCCGCGTTTCGATACCATCCCTCTCGAGTTTATAAAGTTTGTCAAGCCAACCGTCGTGGTGTTGCTACGTTGTGAGTGAGAATTATTACACAGAATTGAAGAAAACATGACTAAAGAACCGTAGCCTTTGGAAACAAGCCAAACAATTCAACGTCAGCAACAATGGAGAGGCGGTTTTAATGCGCGACTATACTCGTGTTTTCAGCTTCGCGATTTTCGCAAGGGCGCAGACGCCGACAAAATTGTTGCCAACGCGCGAAAATTAATTTACTGCCTTCTTTCTGCTACCAACATTTTCATAATGATGGACTTTAAAGATGTTCCCTTGTCAGATCACTGTGGAATACATTAGCATTGGCATTTTTCAAATTTCCCGGCATTTTGATTTCTCTTTATTGCAAAGTTTAAATTTTGACGGGTGGCACATCGACCACATTGGTTCCACTGCCATTCGCCCCCTTGAGCCACCCCATACCTTTTACGTAACTTTTTTGCTTTCCCCACACTCCTACCCAAATTGACTTCGTGACTCCTAAGATTTCTTGAAATCGTATTTTTAGTCATATTTTCACCCGAGAGAAAATTATAGGCTGCAGATTGGCTGCAGGCTGGCTCCCTCCAGGTTGCTTACAACGCGCGGATGGAACTCGGATGGCTGCAGACATTGGCTGTATTCGGACATACGTCAGCCAAAATACAGCCATCCGCAGCCGGTGCAGCGTCTCTGGCTGCACCTGCCAGCCACTGAAGTGTCCCTTTGGAGCCCAGTCAGCGCTGCCCCCGCTGCTCTAGGCTGCACCCCGTAGCCTTCAGGATGCGCCAGACAGCCTTCCTTCGCGAGCCACGCTGCCCCCAGCAGCCACGAGGCTGCGAGGCACTGCTCTAGACTGCACCTCGCAGCCTTCAGGATGCCCCAGGCAGCCTTCCTTCGCCCGGGCCACGCTGTCCCCGGAAGCCTGGAGGCTGTAAGGCGCTGCTGTAGGCTGCACCCCGCAGCCTTCAGGATGCTCCGGGCAGCCTTCTTTCGCCCGGCCCACGCTGCCCCTGGCAGCTATGAAGCTGCGGGTCAGAGCCACATCTCGGCCGCATCCTGCAGCCTCGCGGATGCCATCGGCAGCATCCATATCGCTACTAGGCTTCACTCCTTAGTTCATGAAGGTCTCCATGAGGACCTTGGAGGGTCCCTGTTACGCCCTTTGAAGTTCTATGGAGCCCTTTGAAGATTTTCTAGGGTCAGAACACCGTTCCGGATCCAAATCTGATAAGTAATTTCATGTAGGACTTACCGTTCCCGAGATATCAAAGATAGCAAAAAAGTTTCCCGATTTTTACGAAACTTGCATGGCTTATGTATGTTAAGGTATTCAACTCAAATATCAGCATTCCACGCACCCAGTCTATTTTTTTCTATTTTTTATAGCCCTTTTATCAAGGAATACGACCGTTGCCTGAATACCGCCAGCATCCACCACGCTGCAATCCGTAGCCTACAGGCATTGCAGCCTACATGGCTGTTTAGTCCTGCCGTAGCCCGGCTGCATCCGGCAGCCAACACGCTGCGACGCGCAGCCTACAGCCATTGCAGCCTGCGTGGCTGTAAAGTGCAGCCGCGGCCAGGCTGCCGCAGGCAGCCAGCACGCTGCGACGCGCAGTGCGCAGCCTACAGCCATTGCAGCCCTGCAGGCTGTAAAATCCAGCCGCGGCCCGGCTGGCGCCAGCAGCCAACACGCTGCGACGCGCAGCCTACAGCCGTGGCAGCCTACATGGCTGTAACGTCTAGCCACGGCCCGGCTGGCGCCAGCAGCCAACACGCTGCGACGCGCAGCCTACAGCCATTGCAGCTAAGTTGGCTGTGCGTGGCAGCGTTTATAGGCTGCTTAGGGCAGCCAAAAGGCTTCTGTGCGCAGCTTCTGAAGCGTTTCACAGCCAAAGCGCTCCGTGAAACAGCCAGACCAGCCACTGCAGCGTGGATGGCTGGAAGTCCAGGAGGTCGCTATGGCTGCGACATGGCTGCAACGCAGCCACGGCAGCCATGCATACAGCCAAAAAACGGTCCATACAGCCATGCGTCAGCCGTGCGTCAGCCTTTCTGCAGCCTTCTATTTTTACTCGGGCATGGATCCAATGCCAGTTTGAGGAGGTGCATATTACCACGTTTTCCCTTCGCACAGAGGTGAACTGTGTCTGTTTGCCTACCTGGGTAGATATCTAGAGATGAAGGAGGGGTGCAGTTTCCTTTCAACCCACAGAAAAAAAAGGAGTTCTCTAGGGAAAGGTCATTTTTGCTTCAGGTGCTTTCCACAGGCTGAGGGGAGACAGCGCACGGACCCGCTTCGTGTTGGTGTGGGCACAGGGCGTGGTGCACGGCGACGACTTGAACGTCACCACGGCGGCCGTGTGGAACGCGCGTCGCCTCAACGCCATGGTGGTGGCGCGGACGCGACCAGACGGCCCCATCCAAGTGCACGATTTCAACCCGTTCGATTCCGGTTGGTAATTCTGTACTTAAAATTTCGGTATGTGACCGCGGATTTGACGTAGGAAACATGTCACTGCACACAAATGGTCCTTATGTAGTTTAAAGGACCGCGACCGGGCCGAGGGGGCCACCACCCGAGGGGTGAATCACTTAGCGTTCTTGTGTACACATGAGTACATGAGTACGGGTGAGTACACCTTGTTTTACTCATAAATTTCACATTTGTAAGCATTTTTAGGCTTCATTTAGCGTTTTAAACGGCACTCAACGCCAAATCGGTCGAACAACTAGTGAATTTCACCCTTTTTAAACTTGTGAGTACACTGAGTACGGGCAAATTTGTACACATGAGTACACTACTGATTCACCCCTCGCCACCACCCCCGTAATCCTGTGTACAAATTGGCTGGTAATCTCTGGTAATCCATGGCGTAATCACGTAATCCTTGACAAAATTCTGTCATTTTTCAACGTTTTTAGTCATTTTTCAACGTTTCTGAGCTATTTTTCAACGGTTTCGAACCAATTTTCGAAAATTTCACGCGTAATCCCTGGTAAATATCCTGTAATCCCGTAATCTTGTGTACGCCTGAAATGAGAGTGGTGGCCCCCTCGGACCGGGCTTTTCGGGGAAGGCGGATTAATAATAATTATTGACCAATGCCCATTCCATCGTGAAAATTTTGCTTGTCCCTTGATGACAATTTCAAGGTCACTTTTCCGTACAAGATTGTCATCAAACTAGTTGATGATATTTTGTGGCGCTCATGCCTTAAGTATGGGACCAACTAATTTTTACAGTGTTCCGCACTGCCTGCATCAAGGAGAAAAGGGTAGCCGTTACAAAGCGTCTTGTCTGATGTCCACGCAGAAGCTTTTCCTGACAGTTTTCCCATCCGTTTTGATTCTAGCGGGAGGCAAATGCAACGACACCTCTCCACTGTTGGTGGCCAACTGGGAGCCAGGCTCCGGTCTGGTCTTGGCGTCCCAGTCGTCGCGCTTGTTCCGCTTCGGCCGCGACGCGCGGCACCTCAAGCTGGGGGGCTGCCCGCTGAGGGTCGGAGTGCGGAACCAGAGCATCTACGTTACCATCACCCGCGACGCGTCCGGCTCGTGGCTGCTCAAGGGGATCCTGGGCCACATCCTGAGGGCCTGCGAGAAAATTCTGAATTTCAGGTATCAGGTAATTGTTTGACAATTTTTTGAACTTTCGTAAAATTGTAAAATCTTCGAAGAAATCCTTCGTAATACAAAGCATTTCATGATAATACGAAGCAATTCTACAACGCCTTCATTTTCTTCGTAGTTATAACGTAAATGCTTCGTAGGCTTTTAAGAGTGTTGCTGCTTTAAAAACTACGTAGGGGAAGAACTGGACAGGGGAAGAACTGAACACCCCATATTTTACTTAAGTTACCGTATGCACAGGCATTACAACCATCAAAAGTTGTTCAGAGGCATCATTACGTGATAGTTGTTAAGCCTGTGCATACAGCATTTGGAGTAAAACATGGGGTGTTCACTTCTTCCCCGCCCTGACCCTATGCACAGGATAAAAAGTCAATAATGCACTGATTCTCAAAGCGCAACTGATCCAAAATGTAAAAAGCATTGGCGCATCTATCGCTTTATTAGCGATAGTTATCACTTTATCACACCAAAATTATGACAATCTGGGCCCAGACCGGACAAAACCTAAGAGACTCATTGCATATTGTGATAATTGGCCCGTCCCGTTTATTTTTTGTAAAAATAACAGGAAAAGTAGCGATATACATCGGCAACTTTGGCCCGTCCCGTACATTAAGAAACGTACGAATTTCGCCTATGTTTGAACCTGACGGGAATTAAACCTGAGTCTGGGGTTAAAATAAATGTCGTTCTTGTCATCAGCACCCTCAAAAACATCAGAAACAATGCAAAAACTCGAATAAACAGAATGTTCCAAAAATACCCCGCTGGGCTTTGAACCCGCGTCCGAACTTCTCCGATTCACTTGAAACTGGCACCATTGGGTTTCTCTCGTCACCCCGATTCCAAAAATACCCCTACATGCCCTCCTAGCTGCATCCGTTGCCGAGATCCTCCTCGACCCCATGTAGACCATGATGCACCTGCAGCAGCGCCCCTGGGGCTCGGATCGGATTTGCTGCCACCGGGCGGTTCTTAGGGTCACCCAAGGAGGCTGCATACCAAACTTGGTCAAGATCGGACCACGGGAAGTCCTCGGACGGACGGACGGACGGACGAACGAACGAACGGACGCACAGCAGGGATCATACTATATGCCCGTCCCTCCGTCATTTTTTTACAAAAAATAAACGGGACGGGCCAAAAATGACGGAGGGACGGTCATGATCCCTGCTCTGCGTCCGTCCGTCCGTTCGTCCGAGGACGTCCCGTGGTCCGATCTTGACCCAATTTGGTATGCGGCCTCCTTGGGTGACCCTAAGAACCGCCCGGTGGGAGCAAATTCGATCCGAGCCCCGGGGGCGCTGCTGCAGGTGCATCACGGTCTGCATGGGGTCGAGGAGGATTTCGGCAACGGATACAGCTAGGAGGGCATGTAGGGGTATTTTTGGAATCAGGGCGGCAAGACAAAACCAACGTTGCCAATTTCAAGCGAATCGGAGAAGTTTGGACCCGGGTTCAAATCCCAGTGGGGTTTATTTTGAACATTCTTTTTATTCGAGTTGTTGCATTCTTTCTGATGTTTTTGAGGGTGCTGATGACGAAAATTTCATCTATTTTGCCCCAGACTCAGGTTCAAATCCCGTAAGGATTTAACATGCGAAATTTGCACATTTCTTAATGTACGGGACGGGCCAAAGTTGCCGATGTGTATCGCTACTTTTCCTGTTATTTTTGTTATTGCTACCACAGATGCGATAATTTGAAGGAATCACACTAGCCTTTTTATCGCAGCAAATTGTATGAAACTTATCACATTAGAATTACCAGTGTGGAGAGACAAAGTCAATGCGAGTCTGAGAGTGCGCTTTCCGCAGCCCACGGAACTAGGGCTGAGCGGTTACTGGATTTTAAAACCGGTTATCGGTTAATGAAATTAACCGTTTTTCTACCGGTTATCGGTCTTTACTTTTTAACCGGTTATTTTGGAATAACCGGTTATTTGAAAGTAGCCTGACATTTTTGAATAACCAGTTATTTTCTAAAATAGAGTCCAAAGTAAAAGAATATACACTTTGAAAACACTGCAGGTTGATGAGTCGGGCTACAAAATCCACGGTTTTGATGAACTCTGTTCGTTTGCAGACACGAAAATGAGCTGTTTCGTATGCTCCCCCGTTAGAAACGTTTGCGTAAGTTTTAAAACTAGTCTACCCTGGCTGAATAGCCAGCCGCTCAGATGCAGTTGAGGACACCGGTTCTGCCGGGGACTTTCTGCGAGGGAGGGCGACGTCTGCCCTCCAGTCAACCAGACTAGCCAATTAACCTGACAACCGGTTATGCAGGGAACGGTTCATTGATATTAACCGGTTACACCTATAACCGGTTAATTCAAAACTCTTTAACCAAAAAACCGGTTAGTGAAAATAACCGGAAAATTAACCCGTTAACCGCACAGCCCTACACGGAACTGGCGCGTTACTCCGCATCGAAGCCGCGCGACGCCGTGACGAGGGCCGTGCTCACGGAGGTGACGGACGGCTTCCTGGACGTGGCCCTGATGCCCGGCGCCATGAACGGCCAGCACGAAGACATGGCCATTGCGCACCCGGGCTGGTTCAACTCGTGGTGCTACACGTGGGCCGTACCGTACGGCAGTGGCGGCGTGCCTCCGCTACACTACAAGTCAGTGCACTGCAAACCTAACTGTATGTTAAGCAGACGCTCGCAAATGCAGGGATCCTTAACTTAACATTTGACTAACACTGCTTTCATAACGTAACATAAAACAATGTTCGCTAAAGGTTAAGGGTACGGACTTATGAAAGTACTTGCAAAAGTACATCCACACAAATTCGAGACATAAAAAAATAACCTACCCTTTTGAAAAGATGTTACAAGTTAAGGGTTGTAACTTTAACTCTTATGATAACGTTATGATGCCCGTATGAGGCAAGTTAAGGATCCCTGCGCAAATGCATGCATGACCAAGTACACACTTACAAATGCCCGCTTAGCACGGAGTTATTCGGCGCCAAGCATGCGTTTGTGTGTACATGGCCAAGCGTTTGTAAGGCCAAGCGTTTGTAAGTGCGCAATTGCAAGTAAGCATTTGCAAGAAGTGTGTGAATGATTTGTAAGTGTGTGAATAATGCAATCTTCAGCACATTCGACGGTGGTACAACTTTTTGTCCGCCGGGTGGGACAAAGTGTCTAATAAAAGTACAATTTGCAGCAGGCGTGCGACAGAATGTGTCGACAGGCGAGAACGAAACGAAATCGTGTCACGTTCTTTTCAATTTGATGTAACACTGTCATATCATATTGAAAAGAACGACGTGACACGACATCACATTCCCTGAATAACAGTGAGCTGGCAGCAAGAGTTCTGCCAATTTTTGCCCTTAATCAACAATCTCGGACCACACTCACACTCTTAAAAGCCTACGAAGCTTTTGCTTCATAACTATAAAGAAAATGAAGGCATTGAAGAATTGCTGCGTATAACGAAGGATTTTGCTTCGTACTACGAAGCATTTCTTCGTAGATTTTACAATGCCTTCATTTTCTTCGTATTACGAAGCGGTTCTTCGTAGAGTTTTTGCTTTGCACACTTCGTTCTTTTCTTTCTGGAAAACGCATCAGGCATTCCCCTGTGAGTCCAGCTTCGTTCCTTCCACAGACTGACTCGCGAGTTCTCACCTGCGACGTGGGCACTCATTGGTGCGTCCCTGGGCCTGGCGTGCGTGGTTACGTCAGTGCTGGCACACTGCTCCGGGAAGTGGGCAGCAGAGGAGCCAAATGTGACCGAGGTGTGAAACAGGGTACCTCAGGTTGTTCCCATATCAAACTGAAAAATAGACTAGTAATGCAAGTGCACAAAATTGCGCCGTGAAAGTTATATGGTAGAGCGAATGCGACGACATCTTATTCAAACGAGCGTGATGAAGAACCGCGCCGGCGGCTAAAAACTCGAAACGCGTTTTGAGCTCCAGAGTCGCTAAACAGGACTGGAGCCGAAGGTGTGACACCACCTTTCCTCCGCTCGGAAAGCAATATATTAGCAAAGGGGTAGGGGGGGCGCCTCGGTTTTGTTTCAGAAGCCTCAGGGCACGCGCGGAAAGGCGTAGAGAGTGCTTAACATCACAATTAGTAATTTAATAATTAAGAAACGGAAGGTTTTTGGACAAAATATGTTAAACATTCACAAGTTGACCCAAGTGCACTCTACCAAAAATGTCCTGTAAATGCCGTTAATTTATTACCAGTTTTCACTGTAGGTCAATTCACAGCGTTTACTGTGATCTGCTCACGGGATTCACTGTGATCTTGTTCGCGGTGTTCACTGAGATCTGGTCCCCAGTAAACACTGTGAGTTTGACGCCGCTAAGCACAGAAGTACTGCAAATCAGGCTCCAATTCACGGCGTTTACTGTGGCCAGATCACAGTGAACACTGTAACCGAGATCACAGTGAACGCCGTGAACTAGTTCACAGCAAACGCCGTGAATTGCATAACAGCAAACATTGGTAATAAATTAACGGCGTTGACAGGACATTTTTTGTAGAGTGTGCAAGGAGCGAAACACTGATTTGGCCGAATGGTCTCTCCGCGCACTCTAAATGTCTTACGAAGAAATTTCCCATGATACGAAGGAAATGGCGCAAGCATTACACGAAGGTGCACACAAAATCTATGTGTGTACTCAGTACACACTTCTAGGTGTGTACTTGTACGCACCTAGAAGTGTGTACTTGAATGAGTACACACTTAAAAGTGTGTAATCAGTGAGTACACACATAGAAGTGCATGCGTTTTCCCTATGCCGAGCATGCACCTCGCAAGTGTGCACTCACTGAGTACACACTTAAAAGTGTGTACTCATTCAAGTACACACTTTACAGTGTGTACTTATTCAAGTTCACACTTTACAGTGTGTACTTATTCAAGTACACACTTTACAGTGTGTACTTATTCAAGTACACACTTCTAGGTGCGTGCTTAGGCAAGTACACACCTAGAAGTGCATGCTTGTAAGCACGCTCCTAGAAGTGTGTACTGAGTACACACATAGATTGTGTGTGTTTACTCTTCGTGTTACGAAGGTTTTTCTTTGTATCTTTCAATGAAAAAGCTAAAAAGATTCGTGTTACTAAGAAATATTGCTTCGTATTATGCTTGCGCCGAATTCACTGTAATATACGAATTGTATAGGTAAAATTTCATTGTAAGACATTTAGAGTGTGGATTGTTTAAACATACATCGACATTTACGGTCTCAAAAAGGTGTCTGATATCAGTCTTCGGAGACTTCAATTAATCAAAAGCCGTTATTAATCCGTCTAAATTGGGACAGTCATGTTTCTACCACTCTTAACCTAGAAGGAATTAACTGACCCGGTTTCTGACAAACTTTCCTTCGTTTGTTGCGCTGACGATGGAAAGAGAAGCCTTCTTCTGCAGTTTTGTCTTCTAGTCATCCATGTTTCTGACTTCTCAGAAAATGCATGGAAAATACCACAAGAAAGGGAATTCCTCCGTAAAGTTCTATTTATAGTCCCATAACTCTGAGACTTGTATTCTTGGTGTTCTCACTACACTGAAAAACCAAACGTGGTGTAGACCGCACCAACTGGTGTGGTCAAATGGATGCCATTTTGACCGCATCAGTTGGTGTGGTCTAGACCACGTTAGGGCCTTTGATGCGGTCTAGACCACGTTAGGGCCTTTGATGCGGTCTTGACCACACCAAACGTGGTCTAGACCGCACCAAACGTGGCCAAACGTGGTCTAGACCACACCAACTGATGCGGTCAAAATGACACCCATCTGACCACACCAGTGGTGCGGTCTGGACCACGTTTGGTTTTTCAGTGTACAACTTATTTGTTCCATTAACTTCAATAGATGCATGGCATTGCAGCGAATTACCTACAATCCTAAGTTATTCGGGGCCGTTTGTAAACGACATAATTGAGGCAAATGAATCAGACCAGTATTAACTCGTAAGGAAAAGGTCTAACTGAAACATATAGTTGGGATCCAATTGTCGGGGTCGAGAATCTTGCCCATGGCGTTGAGGAAAATTGTGAAGAAGTGTTTTAAGTTACCCCCGTTGACGGTGCAGGATGCCCGGTGGATGGCGGCCTCGACAATCGGCCCGCTCTGCTCGGCCCTTCTGGGACGGTCACACTCGCGACGGCCGCCCCGCACCAACACGCTGCGGGTCTTCCTGGCCTGCTGGCTGTACGTCGGCCTGGTGCTCAGCACGGCCTACACGTCCTCCCTCAAGACGCTCGTCTCGTCGCCGACGCGACCCAGGACGATCCGCAGCGTGGAGGACTTGGCCGCCTCCACCCTGCCCATTAGTGAGTGCACGCTAAATGTCTGGAGCTGCTCACAACTTTTCAAAGTGCACTTTAGACCCATGGGACGCAACTATTTTCACCCATTGCGCACTGTAAAAAGTATGTTGTGAATTTACGACGGAATATTTTCCGAAGGGTTTTTGGGAATGTCCAAAAGTGCACTGTAAATGTTTCTTTCCTACAGGGACTTTTGTAAATCAACGTAGGTTCGTCGTTAATTTACGAAGGTTCTTTGTAAATTTACGAAGAAAAATCGTAAATTTACAAAATTTGTCGTAAATTTACGAAGGGCTTCGTAAATTTACGACGGGCTTCGTTAATCTACGACGGGTCTTCGTAAATCTACGGCGGGCCTTCGTAAATAAACGAAGTGTTGGCAATTTTTTTGCCGAAGGATCCGTCGTTAATTCCAGACGTATAATTACGAAGAATCTTTGTATATTAACGAAGGTTCTTTGTTTATAAACGAAGGTTCCCTGTAAATTTACGAAGGATCTTTGGGCGATTCCATGCCAAACCAACGAACGCTTGGAATTTCATCTCTCCGATTTTGATGAAACTTTTTTTGGGGGTAGGGGTCATCATAAAAAGACCCCCTGCCATAGGGTTTTGCGATATCTCACCCCGTTTGGCTGTGGCAGGATATCAAAGTTTAAGCTTTAGTCAAAATCATGATATTTTCTTAAATTTCCTCTGTTCTGGCAGATTTTTTTTGGATTTTTTTCCATAGTGTTATTTTACGTAAAAAGAGCTGGGGAACACGATGAAAACGGTTTCGAGACGATTGGGTGAAGTTTTGATGCCAAAATTTTCATTTTTCGTCATATTTTTTCGAAAAATTACCATTCCCAAAATAGCTCATCTTTGATTTCGACCTAACTTTTACCAAATGATCTCCTAACATAGTGGAACAAAACCCTAAAAGGGTTTGGTCGGCCCGCCCATAGGATCTGAGAAATCGCAAAAACAAATTTTGAAAAATCACCAAAATCGTGTATTTAAGGTGGTGGTGGTGGTGTGGGTTCTTGCCTGCGCTGCGCAGCCGTCTGTTCTGGTCAACATCGACTTTCCCCGCTCGGCGTGCAAAGGGAAAAACCACCCGCCAGGAGCGCCTGTGAAGCTCGGATAGGCAACCCGCAGGCCAGAGTGCGCATGTGCATGCGTTGGGTTGCCTACCTTCCATTACCATTACCACTAAGGGCTAGACCACACATGATTTAAAACTGAACTTCACTTGAAAGGCTGGACCACAATCAATCGTGTGTACAAGTCTATGTTTCTTCTGTTAAAATGGTGAACAGTTCATGTTGTAGAGGCGGAAGAAAGGGGGGACAGTTAAATTAGATAACGGTAAATACCCATTATTTACTCAATTTTAATTTTGTACGCAAATGAAAAAAAAAACCCCCCTTTTTTCAATTTTTTAGAGTTCCTCCCCTTTTCCCCTTTTCTTCTGCCCTTACAACATGAGTTGTTCACAATTTTAACAGAAGAAACATAGACTTGTACACACGATTGATTGTGGTCTAGCCTTTCAAGTGAAGTTCAGTTAACTCATGTGTGGTCTAGCCCTTAGTGGTAATGGTAATAGAGGGTAGGCAACCCAACGCACGCACATGCGCACTCTGGCCTGCGGGTTCACTGAGAATCCAAACGCTATGAGTATAGCGTCAATTGGTGCAATGCAAAAGCATTGCACATGAAGTGCAATGCCTCCCCATCGCCATCCATTAGCATACGGCATTTTCGGGATGCATTGCACGTGAGGTGCAATATGGCTATCGCATTGCCGTGTGGGTTGCGATATGTCAGCTGCATTGCACCATACGTGCTATACTCATAGCGTTTGGAATCGCAGTGTTGCCTATCCGAGCTTCACATGCGCTCCTGGCGGGTGGTTTTCCTTCGCACGCCGAGCGGGGAAGTCGATGTTGACCAGAACAGACGGCTGCGCAGCGCAGGCAAGAACCCACACCACCACCACCACCTTAAATACACGATTTTGGTGATTTTTCAAAATTTGTTTTTGCGATTTCTCAGATCCTATGGGCGGGCCGACCAAACCCTTTTAGGGTTTTGTTCCACTATGTTAGGAGATCATTTGGTAAAAGTTAGGTCGAAATCAAAGATGAGCTATTTTGGGAATGGTAATTTTTCGAAAAAATATGACGAAAAATGAAAATTTTGGCATCAAAACTTCACCCAATCGTCTCGAAGCCGTTTTCATCGTGTTCCCCAGCTCTTTTTACGTAAAATAACACTATGGAAAAAAATCCAAAAAAAATCTGCCAGAACAGAGGAAATTTAAGAAAATATCATGATTTTGACTAAAGCTTAAACTTTGATATCCTGCCACAGCCAAACGGGGTGAGATATCGCAAAACCCTATGGCAGGGGGTCTTTTTATGATGACCCCTACCCCCAAAAAAAGTTTCATCAAAATCGGAGAGATGAAATTCCAAGCGTTCGTTGGTTTGGCATGGAATCGCCCCTTTGTAGATTTACGAAGGTGCTTCGTAAATTTCCATTGTGATTGGAAAATCGGCAGAGATCTTTCAAAAAATTAACGAAGGTTTTTGTAAATATTTGAAGAGCTTCGTAAATTAATGGAGGAACCGTTGGCAATTTTTTTGCCGAAGGACCCGTCGTTTATTCCGGATATTAATTTTTACAGTGCGTATGAAACTTTGTGCGCTAAAATTGCACAAGTTCTTCATTGTACACTAAATGTCATGGGACTTTCTTTGACCCATGAATGATGCAATTTGAAGCACATCCGACGGTGGTACAAATTGGTATACGCCAAGCGGGACAAAGTGTCTATTGAAAGTATAATTTGCAGCAGTCGTCGGACGAAATGTGTAGCCAGGCGAGCACAAAATTTTTATCACGGTCGAATGTGCTTAAAATTCGTTAAAATAGCATCATTCATGGGTCAAAAGAAGTCCTATGACTTTAAGAGTGTGCGGAAACGAACACTGTAGGTCTTATGTTCATTTAAATCCTGTATTGATTTCAGGGGCTTACTTCGAATTCATTGATCAGATCCGGTACGCAGCTGATGAGAGCGTCTCGTACAGGAAAATACACGAACGGGCAGTTCCGCTGAACGCGGCAAGTGAGCTGGAGGCTTTCATTGTGAATCCCTCAGTTGCCTTGGGCCATACTCGAGAGTGGCTCTTGAAAATGAGACGGGAAGTCATTTTAAGACACGCTGTCGGGGGCCACAACTCATGTAAGTTTTAAGTGGAACTAGTCCAGCCGCGGCGGCAGCAAGACTATAAGTTGGAAGTCGAGCTGTACGGTAGAATCTGTAGTCGACTATATCGCGCCGTGGGGTGAAACACGAAAAATGTCGCCTGGGGTCAAGTGGTATGGGAAAATCCACTCTAAAATATCAGAATTGCAGAGTATACTGTGAATTTCAGAGCCTATTGGTTTACAGTTCCTGAATACTTCCTCGAGTTTTTGGGGATCTATTTTCTGGTTTCACCTCCGGTCCGCGAGATAGCGGGAAAAGGATGCCAAAACTATATTGAGGTGGTAATGGCTCAACCAAATTACTAAGCTGATATTTTTTTTTAATCTTGGGCAAAAATCCAATTTACAGCCTTTGTAAGGGAGGGTCGGACGATTTGAAATAGATTCAGGAATTCTCTATACTAACAAGAAATTTACAGCCTTTGTAAGGGAGGGTCGGACGATTTGAAATAGATTCAGGAATTCTCTATACTAACAAGAAATATACTGCACTCCCAAGATCCTACTGACCTCTTTCTTCGTAATACGAACAAAAAGCTTAGTATTATGGCAGCACAGCGACGAGGGGGTAAACACTTGCGTAATACCCTGTACACAAAACATTTTGGGACCAAAAGTATGAAAAAATGTCACTTTTCAATGAAATTGAGGCGTAATACATGCGTAATACAAGTGTAATACCCCGTAATAGGGAGTAGTCTGTAGAAGGTTCACCGGAGTGTTTACCCCCTCGCACAGCGAAGGTAGTAACGTATGGTGAGGGGTTCTCAGTAACTTATGACCAGTTTCTTAGTATAACAAACAAATTTTTTTGTATTAGGATAGATTTGTGTCGTAGAGTACTGAGAATTAGCTAAGTTATTATGACAGCATGGCATTTCTCAGTAGGAAATTGGGAGTGTGCATACCGGTGCTAAACTTGTGTGAGCTGAAAAGTCTGACCCTTCATGTAGACCGCACAGCTCCAAAGGATTCATCAATCTAGAAACCGTAAGCTTCGAGATTTAAGACGCTTTCATACCCTAGATGATAATAGAATCACCCCATAACAGCCATGGGCGTCATGTCGAGCTCGGTTTGAGGACCATGTCCTAAAACATGTGACATCTGGGATCATCTGGAATGGATAGAAAGACAGTGCCAAATTGGCGCTGAACACCATCAAATTCTCTATGCTTGTCTGGAACTCAGAATGTGTCAATGAAACTTCATGGAACTCTGCATGGCACTGCGAAACTTGAAATCTGAGGGACGTGAATTTTGTTCCTGTTCAAAAGGGTGGTGTCACCGGAAAATGAACTTATTGATTCCTTGGGGACTTTCGTATAAGGCCCAGGTTAAGTATTCAATACAACGATGAAATATTAAAACTTAACTTTTCGGCAGATGCTGGAGCAATATACATATTTTCTGATTATTGCTTGCGAACGGTTCTGGCACATCCATTCGTGGTGCATCGTCGGTAAGTATACTGGAAGTTGACAGTAACGTATGACCGCCACATTTATTTTTGGCCTTGAATAGAAGTGGAGCATCCGTCATGGTCTATTTTACTAGTTAGACAAAATGTCTGCTCTGCCATTTCAACTGTGTACATTGTATGGAGTAAACGCTGCATAGCTGTGTGCCATGTATACGCTGCGTACAAGTCTTGTACACATCTGCAAGATGCGTGGAGTTGATAGGCAGAACCAGCAGTATTCATGAGCTTGTATACTCTTTAAAGCCTACGAAGGATTTGCTTCATAACTACGGAGAAAATGAAGGCATTGTAGAATTGTTTCGTATTACGAAGAAATGCTTCGTATTACGGAGGATTTTGCTTCATAATACGAAGCATTTCTTCGTAGATTTTACAATGCCTTGTTTTTACTGTGTACGCAGTATTTTCTGCATACAATGCATATTCAGTTCAGCTGGCAAAGTATTAAAGTAAATCTAGCCCAAAATGTGGTAGTATTGGTTAAGACTCTTTCATTCGAGTTGCATAGGAAAAACAATCTCTGGAAACTCTTCTCAACCAGAACAGGTCCCACATTTTGCACTCCCAATTTCCTACTGAGCTTTTTCTTCGTATTACGAACAAAAAGCTTAGTATTATGACAGCACAGCGAAGGTAGTAACCTATGGTGAAGCGTTCTCAGTAACTTATGACCACTTTCTTCATATTACGAACAAATTTCTCTGTATTATGACAGATTTGTGTCGTAAAGTACTGAGAATTCGCTTAGTATTATGACAGCACGGCATTTCTCAGTAGGAAATTGGGAGTGTGGACCGCAGCGGGACACTCAAATAGCCTCAGTGTGACTGAACCTCTTACTGCGGTGCTTTGCAGATCTATACTGGTCCCGGCACTCCAGCACGCCCTGCAGCTCTTGGCGGAGGCAGGCTTATCCCCTGGGGTGTGGACAGAGGGCAAGCAGCTGCCGCCCAGCCTGAGGCGCCAATTCGACCTGCAATTCGACTCAGGGCCGTTGACACTGTCCAACCTACTGCCCGTGTTCATCCTGAAGGCGGTGGCCGACGTTGCCGTGATCCTCGTCCTCTGTCTGGAAGTGGGCACGGGGTGGGTCAGGCAACAGTTCAGCCCAGGAACGTAGAGAAACCCGTCCGTAGTTTGACTTTTGTTGCCTTAGGCCACATCTTGGAGAGGTTTCGTACTTCTAGCAAGCCAGGAATCATATCAATTGAAGCCCAATCAAACTTCTTTTTTCGGATGAACTTTTGTCAGTAGACGTTAGTACCGTGCAGAATGCAGAGCTGCGATACCGTCACTGTATCGTTATCAAGCGTCACGCAAACAAGTGACAGTGCAGCTATTGTTCGATCTCTAAAAAAAGTTAATCCCAACAAACTTCCATTTTTCGAAAGAACTTTGTTAGTAGACGTTAGTACCGTGCATAATAAAGAGCTGCTACACCGTCACCGTATTGTTACCAAGCGGGACGCAAACAAGTGACAGTGCAGCTACAGTTCATCTCAAAAACAGACCCAGCCCAATCAAACTTCTTTTATCGGATGAACTTTTGTTAGTAGACGTTAGTACCGATCAAAAGGGCGAGCTGTGACAACGTCACTGTATTGTTTTCAAGCGTGACGCAAACAAGTGACAGTGCAGCAATATTTTTACAGTCGACTCCCGTTAGCTGGCAGGGCAACCGGGAGGCGCGTTGGACAACTAACGAGAGGCCCGGGCAGGTAGGCCAGGCCCAGCCCGGCTGAGGGTCTGGCTGGCCGGCGAGGGATTACCGGCGGCTTGATCCCCTCGCTTGTCGTGTACTATTCCAGAAGAAATATAAAAAAAAATTCTGTTCGATGCTAATCGCATTGCAAGGTGTTCCCATTTCACTTTTTGGCTTTTTTGAAATGCCGGTATTGGACCGTGCCAGTGTCAACGACGCGACTGGTAGGTGTGTTGTCGTAGCTCATGGTAGAGCGATGGGCCGGGGGCGGTTGGGGGCCTTTCGGCAGCAACGATTCCCGTTGGACCGGGTTTCGCCACCGCCAGGTCAGGTTGCTAACCCTTTATGATTCCCCTTCTCCACTCCCCTTCGGGAGGGGGGTGGGGGGGGAGGGGCCGACGGGGGGAACTCTTTTGCATCCGAGTGCCAGCTAGCACAGAGAGAGGTGCACCCCGAGGTAGGCCACCCATTAAACACGCGTGGGTGGGGTCACGGGCAGGGGGAGGGGGCGCGAGAGGGTCGCGCCCCCTACGGCCCTTACATACAGGGCGTCCTAGTTTGGACGCTTCACTTATTTATTATAGGGAGAGAGGCGCGTCTCTTCATTAGGGAGGGCGGGACGCGCCGTAAAGGTAGGCCCCCCATTTGGCACGCTGCTGAAAAAGCGCTGCGGCGAAAAACAAAGCCCACACCCAGCCGGGATTTGAACCCGTGTACTTCTTACCTCAGCCGACACCTAGCCCACTGACCACCGAGGCCCTGATTGATTAACGTCCGTCCAAACTTAGAGTGATGGTACCGCATTCAAGCAGTCAACTGAGGAAAATGTTCTGCACCCGGGTTTTGAACCCAGCTACTTCTCACCACGGCCGACCTCTCAGCCCACTGAGCCACCGAGGCTCCTTTTCATGACTGCCTGTCTAATCTTAGAGTGATGGTCCCCGCATTCAAGCAGTCAACTGGGAAAATTTTTTCTGCACCTAGGATTCGAACCCAGGTGCTCTCTCTCGGGCATCCATTTCCTCTGCGCTCTCAGCCACCGAGGAATGGGTACGATGCTCGCCGATGTTGATACTGGTGGTACGGGATTCAAAGTTCAACTGAGGAAAACGTTTCCACACCTGGGATTTGAACCAGTTACCTCTCCCGTCCCGGGGCGGCCGCTACCTCTGCGGCCTGAGCCACCAAACCCTTTCAGACCTGCCTCGCCCAACCCTAGACCCGGTTCTTTTGGGGTTTAAGAAGTTAAATGACAGTTTGGGGGCCAAAATCAGGAAAAGATTGGAGCCCGGGATTTGAACCCGCGCACTCCTCATGGCAGCCGACTCCTCAGCCCACTCCGCTACCAACGCACTTGGTGGGGACTGCCCCGAAACTTGTACTGATGATACCGATACCAGATACATTGTAAACTGATGAAAAGTGTCTGGATTCGAACCCAGATCCTGCTCGGACAACACTCCTGTGTTCGTTTTTGTTTGTCTTGCCCATTAAGCCACCGCTACAGTCAACAGACGAAAAAGTTTGTGCGAACCGTCACATTATTATTTTATGCTATTCTTGTTTTATATTATTATTATAATTATTTATAATGCGAAGTTCGCAATATGCTTGCGCTATTTCCCTCGCACTAGGTGAATTTCTTGGTAAGACATTTAGAGTGCCGGATTCCTCGCCAGTGCTGCCGTACTCACAGTGTCAGAGTCCTGGGAAAATGCGACTTCCGTGGGGAAAGCGCAGACAACGACTGGAGTCTGCGGCTCCTCGGAGAGCGAGAGCCGTCGTGACAGGCGTCACTTGGGCCCGGGGAATCCCACCCAGAGGCCACATTATTTGGCGCGCCTCTCCGAAGCACTTGTACACTCGAAATGACAGAGTGAGACTAAATCACTGTTTGACGGGTGTGAACTGGCCATGGAAGGATCGCCTTGAACTGTGCTCCGACTTTGATGTTGCCATTATCACTTTGAAAACCTTAAAAACTATTTAGGGCTTACGAAGAATAGCAGCTTGTTACAACAAAGCATTTTGAGCATACATAAGCTTAGAAAGAAAATAATTGGTATTTACGAACTATTTCTATGTAGAGCAAAATAAGTAGTTTTTACTAGGGTCAGGGGGGGGAAAAAATGGACAGGGGAAGAAAATGGACACCCCACATTTGACTTCAAATGCCGTATGTACTGGCCCCACAACCCGTCGTGTAATGAACCGCTGATGCCACGGAAAAAAGTTACTAGGGGTACGCGCCGTTTAGTTTGGGCGCGTAGTAGGCGAGCGATGCGTAAGGCCAATACAGAGTCTTCCGTAACAAAGACGCGGAATTCATGTCATTTTCTTGATTATCTTACTGAAAACTGCAGGAAACAATGGGAAACTCAACTTTGAAATTTTGGTCACAAATTGGTAAATTTCGGGAAAAGTAAAGGTCTGGGATGAAATTGGAAGTCATTTTCGTGATCAGCACACAAAAAACTGCAGGAACCCATGTAAAACTCGACTTAAGAATTTTGATCCGAAATTGGTAAATATTTGGAAAAGTAAAGGCCTGAGATGAAATTGGAAGTCATTTTCGTGGTCAGCACACCAAAAACTGCAGGAACCTATGTAAAACTCGACTTAAAAATTTTGGTCCGAAATTGGCAAATATTTGGAAAAGTAAAGGTCTGGGATGAAATTGGAAGTCATTTTCGTGATCAGCACACCAAAAACTGCAGGAAACTATGTAAAACTCGACTTAAAAATTTTGGTCCGAAATTGGTAAATATTTGGAAAAGTAAAGGTCTGGGGTGAAAATAAAAGTCATTTTTGTGATCAGCACACCAAATATTGCAGGAAACAATGACTCACTGAGGAAATGTTGGTACTGAGGAAATCATGTAATTCTAGTTGAAAGTATGGGTCTGCAGTTGTTAAAATGAACGCAATTTCTAATTATTGTGTTTCCTGTTCATGGTGTCATAACATGAACCCTGTCACTGTTACTCAGTCGAGTAACATTCGACAGTCAGCATTGAATTCCTTAGTACAATTAACAAATGCTTCAATTACCATTCGATTTCTCCTTGTTATTGAACTTATGAACACGCAATTTGTAATACCTAAAAAGCCTTTTATCTCCCTTTTATTTTAAACAAGTGGATGAAACTATATTGATTTATCTCAATTAATTAAAAAGAGACACATTTACAGGCAGGCTGATTGCAACTACTTTACGGAGAAGACCTTCTGTCAGATCCAATGAATCGTTTCATAGAATCCAATGTCGAGCCCACTTATTGCTAAACACAATTAATCTTATTCATAATGATAGTCATGATGTGATATTTAATTTTTGAAACAGTATAGCATAAGTATTTACCTAACATTCTGAGTAAATTAAAAACTCAAACCATGACCCACACAAATTACCAGTTGTCTCAGACAATATATGATGAAGTTAAAAGAATCGTCTTCTGAAATCATACGACCAAGTCACTGAATCGACTCATTGAATCAGATGTCAAAGTCAAACCTTGTATGCGCTACACTCACTCACCATATAGTTATCTTTAAGGTTAGTACTATAGTAAACATACAGCATTGCAATGAAGCCTTTTCCCAGAGTCAGTGTCAAGAGTCAGCAAAGACTATTTTTTTTGGCAAGATTAGAGTCGCTGGTTTGTACTTGTAGATTGTATAAATCTATTTTCTAATTGTTATTGAGCAAAGAAAACAACTAAAAAGTAAAATGTCTGAGAATAAAAATGGAAATACACTCTCAAAGCTTATAAAGACCAAATCATTCTTGCAATTATCAAACACACTCACTCCACTGACTAAAACATTTCCCCTGTAGCGGGGGAGGGGAGGGGGCGGACGGACCGACGAAACGCGTAATTATTGTCACTTTCATTTTCCGTATTTCACTGTGTTGACACTCCGGAGGGGTTTCAATCATTCTAGAATATCGAAAAACTATGACCGAACTCACTTCTAAGCCCTTCTGCTCTCTATTTTGTTTTATTTGCCAATGTTCTGCCAGTCCCGTATTTGAGAGCCGCGGCCGCAAGTATGAAAAATTCATAAATGCTGCCAACCTAACCACGCTAAGAACCTAATTCAAAAAGATGTTTTGAATATTTCAAACGGTAGTAATCGTGAATATAAGATAAACTCCCCCTGTGGGAGCTTTAGGAGATGTTCGGTGCAAAATTTGGGAACTATTAGTGTTGTAGTTGCTGAGAAACGTGAGTGAGTTACAGACACACAGACAGACAGACAGACAGACAGACAGACGCACGACCAGTCACTTTTTGGACCGCCCAAACACGGCAAGGGCTCGCTATCGCTCGCCAATGATAGTTGTTATTCCTGTGCCTACAGTATTTGAAGTAAAATATGGGGTGTCCAGTTCTTCCCCCCCTGACCCTATGCATGCTCAAAATACGTTGTCAGGTTATAATCGTGCACCAAACGACTACTTGGCCACCGTCCTAAATGCTGCGGTTTTCAGGTCAACCCATCTCACAATTTTGTAAAAAGTGATTCATGCATAAAGGAGCTTACGACAATAAGTTTTATTCAATTTTTGGAGATGAAGAAGATAATGCCTGCAATGGTTTGCTTACTCAGCTCAGTCAAAAAAAAAAAAAAAAAAAAATTAGTGCCATAGCATCAAGGCCTGTGGCATGATTAAGGAGGTGCTAAAGAAACACCAGATACGCTTTGCAAAAAAAAGCTGTATTTACAAGTAAACGTTACAGCATGATTAAAAGTACACTGGCTGGTAAAAGATCCAAGGATCTTGTCACACCATTAAAATTATCAGATTTAAAAAAACAAACAACAAAAAACGATGATAACTTCAGTCTAAAATCAAATAGCTAAAACAAAATTAAAAAGAAAACAGAAAGTAGTTAACACTCACACACTAAATTGGAATCGCCATTGAGGCCCAAAGTGCAGAGTTGGAGGTCACAATTGTTTGAAAAGTAACATGACTTTAAATAATCAGTCAGAAAAAAAAACAAGAGTGGGAGAGGAGATTCCTGGTCGACTCTACTGGATCTTGAGGTGCAGGGAGCGGCCCAACGCGCTCAATGATGACTCCAGCGTAGCGTCCAACTTCATCGAGATGTCTTCGAGACAAACCACCTGGAAAGTAACAAGAGGGAGAGATATCACAAAACAACAGGCGGAGACAATTTCTTTTTAAATTAAAAAAGAATTTGAGGTGGGAGGTCTTCAGAGATAAGTTTCCCTCGCACTGTGCTCTCCGAACGAGGAATCCATTGGGGGGGTCACACGTTAAATTCGAGTCCTTTTAGCGACTCGGGAGCTCAAAACGCGTCCAGAGTTTTGGACGCCTCCACCGGTCTTCTGGCCCGCCCACAGTGCAGCGGACAGAGAAACCAACTCACCTTCAGGGGCCCTGAGGCAGCCAACGGCCCAGGTGCTCCGACTCGATTTCTTTGACAGCACACAGGCGGAGCTCGGTAAAAGCGGGCATCCTGGTGACGTCCTTCAGCAGGCCGGCCATCACGGCAGCGGGGTAGCAGCCTCCAGTCAGGCTCAGGCAGCGCACCTCGCTGCAAATCCCTGCCGACAAAGGGGACCAGCTTAAATACGCAACTCTAAAACGATTTCCCATTGGATGATCGAGGGGAAATCAATGTGAATTTCGGAGTACGAATCCAATGAATTGCAGTTGAATAACGATGAATTTTAGTCGAATATCGACGAATTTCAGTCGAATTTCAATGAACTGCTGATAATTTTCGATAAAATTCCGTCGAATTACAGCAAATTTTTATTCCCTAATTTCGATAAATCTTAGTAACTTTGTATGAATTTCAGTACATTCTACATGTTTGGTGCATTGCAGTGTAAAAATTTTGGCTGGATTATTTCCCCTAGCCTCTGACACAAAACAGAACTTTAGCAAGATACTTCATGGGAAAAAAAAAATGGCACTGCACTCAAGGGGAAACACTTTTCCATTCGATCATTTTACAAACTTGAATACATTAACCGGCATCACGCCTGTAAGTAGGAAGGATTGTTGGAAATAGGGGAGAAAACTGCACACGCTAACTCTTTCCCAACAATCGCGAAGGGTCCCCCCTCCACTGCATTGCTGCTGCACGTTTGAGTTCTCGTCTACAATTGTGGCATCCACTCAAGAAAAGTTGAACCCACTCAAGGTAATTCAAGTACGCTACTCACTGCTCAGCAGCTCATCCAGCAAGGCAGCCATGCGGTCCGCGGATCCCCGCACGGGGGGCGGCAACTGCAGTTCCAGCCGCTGCAGTCCCCCGAGCACAGCGTGCCCGCCAGCAGCGCCTCACGGGTCTTCTTGGGCAAGGAGACGCTCTTGGACGGCTGCAGCGACAGGTCCCGGAGCAGCGGCAGTTGCCCGACCACGGCCAGGCCCGGCGGCGTCGGCAGGCGAGGCGACGCAGCTGCGTGCACCGGCCGATGGCAGGCCACAGCTCGGCGGGCACCTGGGGGCACTTGTCCGAGGCCAGCAGCGCCAGCTCCGTCAGCGGGCCCGCTCTTGTGGGCCAGCACGTCCAGCACCACCTGCCACGCCATCCAACCATCAGCATTGGAGCACGCTCGAAAGGTCCAAGAGTAAATATGAAAAAAGAGGGGGGGGGGGGGGGACGGACTGGGAATTACAGTGAAGAAATCAAAGTGACTTCGGGCCAAAACTGCAGAATTTTGGGGGGAAAATATTGAAAATTTCCGTATTTGTGACATTTTGGAAACAATTTGGTGCAAAAATTTTAGGGCGGGTATTTTCCCTTAGATACATGTAAACTTGAGCGAGGGCATACGAGCTTCGTTCGATTATGTTCCAAATCTTTTCCGACTTTTCTTTGAACGTAAAAATAGAGAGCTTTTTTAAGGGGAAAAAAAGTGGTACAAATAAAATACAACGAGAACTGTCAAAAAAAAATACGATTTTAAGAATCTTAGGGGTCACGAAGTCTATTTAAGTAATTATTTGGAGTGAAGAGAGAGAAACAAAGTTGTGCAAAAGTGATAGGGGGTGGCTCAGGGGTGGCTACCAATGGCAGTGGTACCGATGTGCCACCCGTCCAAATATTTCGTTGGGCAGATAACAGAACGGGGAGCGATGACTGCACGGTGTACCCACCTCCTTCCAGTGCTTGTAGTCCTGCACGGTGGGGAAGTGGAAGGGAAGGACACCAGGGAGGGGCATCCCTTGCCCAGCTCCTCGTCGTAGCCGCCATGGGCCCCCTTGTGCAGCTCGTACGTCAGGTCCCGGTGGGTCAGCAGGTCCATCTTGCCGACTTTCTTGATGGCGAGGTGGAGCTGTCCGCGCTCGCGACCGAACTGACTGAACCAGGTGCCAAGGCGCAGCTTGAGCCTCTCCAGCTTCGGGCCCCATCTGCGCAAAAACAGTTGAAGAGCAGTTCGAAATTAAAAATTTTTGCAGGAGCGCAATGAGGGACAATATTTCTGTTTTGAGCTGAAGTATTCACAACACTGTACGTATCTAATTTAAGTACAAATATGAACATAACTTTAGTATGCACAAAAACGGCCGTGGTTATGGACATAAAGTTCATAACCATTTAGTGTGTACATGGTAATATAGTGTGAACATATTACATGAACTTTACGTTTCTCAAAGAATTGATACCAAATAATTGATGAAAAAAGTAACGACAATCTATTAACTTCATTTACTTATTTATCTTACTTTTCTGGGAAATTACTTATGCTGAATTTTAAAAAAAATTATTCTAGCCTAAACGAATACGTACTTGACGATCAAAAATAGTCAGTAACGGGCTGAACGAGCACACTCTCAAACATTTCCACAATCGATGAGCAGAAAGTTTTACAGTGGGTAGTGGGTCACCAATCGAAGATTTTGGACTTAAAAATGCGTAATGAAACTGCAAAGTACAACGCTACTTACTTCTCCAGCAGCGCGATCTTGGCACAGCCGTCCCGCTCCACGCGGATGTCGAGCTGCCTGGCCGGGCAGTCCATGCAGTCGAGGCGCTCCCACGCGTCCCACACTGCCTCGTCGTGCTCGAAGCCCCAGTCGTCGGCCGTGGCCATGCCGCTCATGTCCAGCAGGCGCAGCTGCGGCGCGCGCTCCAGCAGCCACACCTGGAGGCAGACACCGCGGGGTTGGAGAACAAAATGTATAGCACCACTTACCCTGAGAAAACCTCACAAACTATTTCAGGCCTTACAAAACAACGCAGTTTGCTATAACAAAGTATTTTGAGCATACATAAACTTACAAAAAAAATACATAAAAATTTACGAACTGGTTCTTCGTATAACGAGGTAAATTAGTCTGAATTTATGTACGCTCAAAATACTCAGATCTGGGGGGGAAAAACAGGGGGACTCATCCCTAGTAGTGTCATAGAATTGACTAGAATGGGCTTTTTATCTGCAATAGTTTTCAAGAAATAAATAAAAATAATTAATTGTTTTATTAATGAAAACTATTGCAGATAAAAAGCCCCTTCTAGTCATTTTTTTGACACTAATGGGGGGAGTCTCCCCGATTTTCCCCCCCCCCCCCCCCCCCCAGTTTAGCAAGTATGAGAACAAAATCTTACGAAAAACCCAAAATTTTTAAAAGTTTCGACTGAATTTCCAAAAAAAGTCAAAGTCACTTCACTTCAAGCCGAAATGAAGCTTTCTCAATTTTCTAAAAGGGGTTTTTAAAACAGATGTTGTAAAATCTTGATCCGTCTACATCAGAATTTTTTTTTTACAAAGAGCTTTTAACATGTATGAGCCCCCTTGAGCTTATGTATGCTCAAAATACTTCGTAAGGTTTTAAGGGTGTACAAAATTGAACATCATCATCCAGTGCTTATCTTACCTGCTTCTTGCAGGTCGATGACGTCATCACCACGTCCGCGTGCCGCCACGCCTCTGGTCGCGCCGTCAACTTCCTCCAGCGGCGACACACCCGCGCCGCCCTCAGCAGGTCCTCGACGGGCAGCCAGGACAGCACCTGCAGCAGCACGGCGTCCGGCAGCACGGCCAAGGACGGCCTAGGCGAACAGAAACTGCATTCACTCTTTGTCTTACAAAAAAAATTGCCGGAGGGGGTAACCATTTTCAATTTATTCGTGCAGAATTCCTGCAGAAAGTTTAGGCGGGATTTCGCGCCAGAATTGGCGCTTGGCGCGAAAGTTCAAGGTGTCAACTCGCACTGTGGATGAATACACTCACTGAGAAAACCTTCCAAACTATTTCCGGCCTCACAAAGAGACGTAGCTTGTAAAAATTAAGTATTTTGAGCATAAATAAGCTTAAAAAGAAAATGCTTCGTAATTTACAAACTATTAATGAGCGAAATAATCTGCATTAGTTTATGTTGCTGAAAATACAATGAAAGGGTTTTTAAACGTTCAAGATTCTCTTAGGAATGGATCTGGGGAGATTTCACGTCAAAATTACGCAAGACTTTGCGGAATTTAGATGGGTATGCGACATTTCACCAGATTTTGAAGGGATTTCACGGGATTTCAACCGATTTCGCGTAAGATTTCAAGTGTACAGAGGAAAAAGAACACAAGGAAATTTGGCGGTTACAGTGCTTAAACTAAAACATAACTCTACGCTGTTTTAGAACAATCTTTTGCTGCGTACAAACAACCCGGACAGTCCAAGCACTGACTACTGCGGGTCACTAGGAGGGACTTTACTGGGTCTGACTTAATCAGCAATCAAAATTGATGCTCATAAGGCTGTATACTTCAGCTGGTTTACAAACGTCTTGTTGATGAACAACGCAAGTCATGAGTAAACAAGTTAAGTCATCTGCAAACAACTTTCAGTCATGCAGAAAATTAGCAACATATTTGCTGCTTAACTACAACATTACTTCCAACAGTACTGTACTGTACGACAGTTACTACAGTAACTGCAGTAATATCCCCTTGCAATCGGTTCATCTAGTCGGGCGGGATCGCTTTAACTACCAGTGTACTTACCCGTCGTGAAGCTGCTCTTTCGGCGGTGTGCCTTCCTGAGCCCTGGCCGCCCTGCCCTTGGCAGAGGCTGCCACTGGAGCGTCCTGAGCCGCCTTGGCGCCCTTCTTCTTCCCTTTCCGCGCGCCAGCCATGGTACGCAGCACTAGTCAACTGTCGATGCTCTAGCGAGGGGCGTCCGTCTGACACGGAAACCGGGGGCAGGATGCACGTGGATCACTCACACTGTAAAGGGGACAAAACATAAGCACTGTGGGAAAAAATCACAGTAAATCCTGTAGTGATTAGTACAGCTGTCACTGTAGTTCAGAGTACAGGATTTACTGTACTTTTTAAACAGGATCTACTGTACTTTGTACGGGATTTACTGTACCACAGGAGTGGAGTACGGAATATCCTGTACCAGGTACAGTAGATACTGTAGCCAGGCACGGTAAATCCTGTGTTCTGAACTACAGTAAATCCCGGCAAAAAAATTAACGGGATTCATTGTGGATTTTTCGCACAGTGAGGTTGAGATCGTAGCATACGGTAAACACACACAGTGAGCCAGATGAGCGGTAGAGGAGGTAAAAACTTATGACGCGTTTTGAGCTCCACACTATGGCAAAAGGCTACGAAAAATTCTGTTAATTTTTAGCCAAGATTCTTCTTATGGCCCTCGCGTACCAATATTATCCGTAGGATAATACAGCATTCATCGTAGGACCGTACGGTCTTCTCGAACCTGGAAGACTGTATAGTTGAATGGAGAACCCTGCAAGGTCCTACGGAGAACTTTAACAAGGAGGCTACGGAGAATTACCTCGACCTGTTCACAGAACTTTCCTCAGTTTTTTGCCACAGTGTAAAGTCGCTGAATGGGACTCCAACCGATCGTGTGACCCTAACCAATGGACTGCACTCCGAACGAGAAATCCATTAGAAGCGTCACTAGTCCGCTTCAAGTCCTGTATGGCGACACAGGAGCTCAAAGCGCGTCTTGAGTTTCGACCGCCTCCACCGATCTTCTAGGAAGAATGAAAACGGAAGTCAGATATGTGATCCATTGAGAAACATTGATGCGGATGAGTACGCTGCTGACATGATCATCCGCGGTGGACATTTGTAACAGATACTGACAAGTCCAAGTGGAAACGCTCAAATTCAGTCAGCAGTTGTAGACAGTTAAAGCCGAATGTCTTCACGCAGTCTAGTCGAAATACAAAGAAATTCTTGAAATAAAAAAACGCTGAAATACAAATCGACTGTCATGGAAACTTGATTCCAATCCCTTGAAAATCATCTCATGGAATTCAGTGACGTTGAACATTAAAATTCAAGGTTTTTTCCCTCTTGGTAATGTCTCACATTCATTTTCAATCTACTTGTTCCGGGAAAGATTGTAACACAGAAACGCAGAGCGCACTTACATCACCGAGTCGTGATGAGTTCGTGACACGTGAGAACTAGATTTAAAAGCGGTTCACTGGCACAGTAAGTAGGGAAGGTTGTAAAATCTCTGAACCCTCGCCGTCCGCCCGATAGGAGAAACGTTACGCTGGCCCAAGCTACCCACCCACCGCTCTGCGTAACATTTCGCAAAATTTCTAAATGAACCTTACCCGACTTTCTTTTCTTTCGCTACGTTCCGTAACACTTAAGATGATAACCGTGACGTTAGGCTGGCCAGCATCGAAAACGGCACCTGAGAAGTTTGATGGGTGTTGCTAGATTGCAACAGCATGCAAATGATAAGGACACATTTGGAGCAGGCTGATGTGTCAGTTAAGCACGCCACTTCCGTTCGTTTAGTTCGTAACAGTGTGACTGTTTCTAAAATCTGCCAAACAGACATTGGAACATGAAATTAAATCATCAAAAGATACGGAAAATTCTTAACCGAATCAGCGTAACATGACGCTTGACACATGAAATATGGAATCACATTTCTTAGGACGGTAAATAGGCCTCAAGGGTCAAAATCGCGTAGAGAAGTGAAATTTTGAGGAACGTTACGTTAAGGGATACGTACATGGGCGCGAGAGTCCGGGGATTCCTCGTGTTACGCAGGTATTTGTTTCTGTTGTCAACTACACGAGGGGGAAAATCGATCCGCATCAATAGGATATGTCACTTCGTGCCATACCAGCGCTGAATTTAATGAAACTCAAGCCGAGACTACATTGTCATAATTTATTTCTAAAGTCAACGAGAAGATCCACTAAGATTTGTCAAATTAGCCTTGGGCAAAGACGAAATTGACCGTCGCTCGCTCAAACGGATGGAAATCGTCTCCGGTGCTGTCTGTTCACGACGATAAATGCAAGCTGTTGACGAGGGGCGTACGACACGACTGCAAGATACGGCATGCGAATGGTCGATCAAGTGGCAGGAAGCGTCGAGATGATCGCAGTGTCTCTGCGTGCCACAGGGACGTCCATTTGACGGCACACCATAGAACCATTCCGTTGGCTCCTGTAGACAGACCACGGGGCCTGAAAAAGGTCTTAGTTCGAAACCTACTCTACAAACTGAAGTGTGTACTCAGTACACATCTACAGATGCATACTCAGCTGAGTTCACATCTACAGATGCATACTTGGCTGAGTACACATCTACAGATGTACACCTAACCTCTCCAAGTATGCATCTGCAGATGTGTACTCAGCTGAGTATGCGTCTGTAGGTGTGCACTTGCAAGTATGCATCTGTAGATGCATACTGAGTACACAGTTCAGTTTGTAGAGTAGGTGCGTCCGCCGCCTGAAAAGCGTTGATTGTGATGATATATAGTTGTTTTAACCATGTATGACCACATTAGTTTCAGACATGGCGCTAAGATGTGCGTCGGGCGTCTTGTCTTTGACGGTCCTCCTTTTAACGCTGATGAGTGGCACCTTCTCTCGGTCAACGGCGCGAGTAAGTGCCCTGACAGGAGGAAAAGGTCATGTTGACGCAAAGTAAGAAGCTAAATGAGAAAAAAATTTGGACTCACTTAGCATTAGTGACCCCCCATGACCCAAATGTGACAAGAAGGAATTTTGAGTGAAGTGTTTTTAAAGTACAAGACATCACAAAAATTGAGAAAATGGTGATAGATAAAAGATTTGGAACATGAAATTTCTTGTAGCATTAATTGTGTGAAATAAACAAAACAATTGTTTTTACGCTAAGTAACAACACATGCAGGATATAAATGAACACTAACCTTTTAACTTAAGCCTCATCCAGAGCGTCTTTTTTTTCCCTTTGTTTTTTTTTTCCAAATCTGTTGCTTTTGACCACCGGTCACCTTTTCGGGCATGAAACTCGTCAATGAAGGGTTAATACTTTCACGCTAAACACCTGACGGAGGAGCAAACGTGGAACAGTCTAATTTACTTTCTAATACGAAGAAATACTTCGTAAATTACGAACTGTTTTCTTTGAAACATGACGTATGCTCAAAATACTTTATTTTACATCAAGCCACTCTTTTTCGTAAGGCTTCAATAGTTTGTAAGGTTATCTGAGTGTTGCTGCTACAGAAGCCTAAAGCTATTCCGGTAATATACGACGTCGGAGTCTGCACGGACAAGAAGCACCACATCGAGATCTACAACGTGACCACCATCATGGACGAGTGGGGCGCAAACTACGTCACAGCCGACATCTTGTTCCGGAAAGGAATGAAAAACACATCCAAGGTACACATTAAGAAAAATTGTGTACATTTATACGAAAAATGTTTAGAACCGAAATAAGGACTAAAGCGGACTAAAGAACTTGTCCAATATGAACCCTGGTGTATTAACGGGCACGGCAAAAGAAAGGGCCAAAGTTCTGATGTTGGCAGGTAAATTGTTGGCCTGATTTGATTCGTATTCTTTTATAACTTTTTCCTGCCAATGTAAAGCAATTACTTACTGCTCAGCTAGAAGAAATTTCAATTCCTGGCTAATTTTCCTACGTAGAAGCGATTGGTTGCACTTTCGCACGATACAGTAATTGATGCTCGAGGTACAATGGAACCGGAAACAAGAGAATCTTAGTTTTAACATAAGGGTGCACGCTAGTCATTGTCTCAACAGTTCATCCTTTCGGTGCACTGGTGAAACAAAGGCATTAAAATTATGCCCTTGAAGGGCATTCGTAAATGCCTGAAGGAAGGGCAATAAAATTTTGCTTGAAATTCCTACACCATTCACGCCCTTCCCAAGGGCATAGAACGATCTATGCCCTTGGGAAGGGCGTAAAAGAGTATTTATGCCTTAGAGGACATAATTTTTATGTCGTTATTTTACCAGTGTGAGGTTTAAATTTGAGTATTCCATCTTCAGTTCGTCGTCATCATTACGAAGTGCACTGGGGCAAAGTCGCCCAATCTATGCGAGTATTACCTTCGCTGGGTCTGGACCGCAGCCATCTGTCGTTTGATTCCGACCAGAGGCATGATATGGAGTCCGATATACGACACATTCGAGCCGCCGTACACCTGCCCTGTGCCGCCGGTAAGTGCAAGTACGCACTAAGAAAACGCAGCTACACTCTCAGACTAGCTATAGACTTTTAGAAAATGGTATTGACATTTAGTCAGTAGCACCTATAGTAATTTGTGTAACAATAATATGTAAGTACTTTTCGCTTTTGAAATTAATTTTTACATATTTTATTGGATTTATTGACCAAAAAACTCCCAAATAATTGAATGCAGTAAATTACGCGTATCTCAGAAAAAATTTAAAGGCAATAGTACCTGGTTAATGACGATGACGATTTAGTCAAGTCAGTACGACCGGTAGATCGGAAATTCCTGAGGGAACTTCGGATCTAACTTCCCAGGATTTCCCAATTTAAAAAAACTGAGGCTAAGTATGTCAGAAGACCGGTGAAGGTGGTCAAAATCATAGACGCCTTCCGAGCTCTCGAGTCGCGTAATGAGAATCGGACCGAACGTGTGGCCCCACCAATGGATTGGGCTTCGAACGAGGCATGCATTGGTGGGATCACACACTCGGATCGAGTCCTGTTGAGCGACTCTGGAGCTCAAACCACGACCAGAGCTTTGGCCGTCTTCCCCGGTCTTCTGGCCCACTGTGGAGGGTCTAACGCGTGCTTGCCATGCCCCAGGGACACTTCCTCGTCCGCAACGCCACCGTGGACGTGGACGCCGCCATGGCGCTGATGCCGGACAAGCTCTACAAATACATCTGGCCCGTGGAGGTCCAGTTGTACGACGAGCACGGCGAAATGATTGTCTGCTTCGTCGCCACAGGCGAGGCCCGATACGCAAAGGGAAGCACGGGGCATCCCAGCTAAGACCCATGCTCAGTTTAAAGTCTGCCAAGAATCTTCGTAATAAGAAGAAAACGCAGGCTAAATCTACGATGAATTGCTTGACTCCACGAAGCCAAATCCTCCGTAATAGAAAAAATTTTCCCCATATTACGAAGAAACCTGACGATATCTTTATTTCCTTCGTAGCTGCCGCTCCTTGGATGAATACCTTTGAATGTAACTAAATGAGATTAAATAAACATCTGAAAAAAGAAACCTGACGTCTCCTCGATAGCCCTTACGAGTTCAATCGGGACTGAAGAGTAGTTCCAGACCGGAAGTTCATTGGTAATCGGGAGAAGCAGAAGGGTAGCTTTCGGCCAGTGTAAGATTGTGGAGGGGGATGTTGAAGCTACACCATACCCTTTGAGCAGCTGAGCCCAACGATACACTTTGGATACCCCAATAGGGTATTTTAACGAATCCCTGGACCGGAAGTCAAAGAACAAAATTAAGAATCAAAACCGCTTCTGCACATGCGCAGACGCTGCCTCAGAGTGGAGGGGGGACGTCTGCGCATGCGCTGAAGCGGTTTCGGTTCTTACTTTGTTCTTTGACTTCCGGTCCAGGGATTCGTTTTAAAAATCTCTTTCAACGAACGGTAATGAGAGCAGATGATACTCGTTTGGTTTTCTTCTACGGGATAGTATGTGCTCATTCGAAAGATAGGCCTAGTATTTAAAAACTGAGTCCTTCGTCCCGGGGGCCTGCACCGCCGCGCCGTGCCCGTTGGATGGCGAGCATCCGGTGCCTCTGCGCTGTAGCGGGAATTGATTGTCAGTGTTGCGCGCAGGCCGTTGCGCGCGAGGAGGGGGTGCATTGTTTACGCCCGGCCCGGGGAGTGATTGTCGAATGGCGCCGCAGACAACCATGTGCTCGAATTCCGCGCAGGCTGCCCCGGCAGCCAGCCCCTATAATATTGTTAGGATACGCACTTGGTTTTTGGACTCCCGAGTAAAACCTAGCTGACACTCTTATGTGTCTTGTAGTTGTAGTTTTAGATATGTTATTAAGGTATCATCTGTAAAAAAAAACCATATCACAATGTTAGGTGTATCACCTCCTCTGAATAGGTCGCAAACCCAGCTGAAGCCCTGGGACCTTCGTTTTGTCCGCAGCAACCCCCGGGTAGAGGGACAAAACGAGGAGTTTGACTGTACACTCTTATTTAGCGAGTACATGCCAGGCACACACTATTTTGGTGTGTAACTAACAAGTATGCTGTGAATAAAAGTGTTCCTGGAAGTATGCTCTAATAAGAGTGTACTGTGTACATACTTTAGTTAGCAGAGCGGTTTCCTTTGCGTCCAATATTAACCGTGTTCCTATCCTAAGCCTCGACTTGAATAGTCTTCAAAAGGGTTCTCCGGTGCAACTGCAGGGTGATTCCGTGCGTAGAGGGTCATTTTGGATGTACCAAATGTTCTTTTTTAAAGTTCAACTTTAGGGGCTAAATTTGGTGTAGATGGTACACCAAATGTGGGTACATAGTACATAGTACCCCACAGTACCCCTCTGAGCGTGGCAGCGCTACAAGTTGACTTTTAATTTCACCCCCTATGAAATACGGCGGAATTTACAGAAATAATGACGGAATTTACAGAAATAATGACGGAATTTACAGATTACGGAATTTACAAAGCGAAGTGTTTAGTCTCCTGACCCGCTGGGTTACTAGATAGGTAAAAACTGTTGACGGTGTCATTTTGAGCATCCAAAATAGCGTTTTTCAGCGAAGGTTGTGGGAACTTTCTCCCTCAGATGGAGGAGCTACGGCCCGAAACGGAATTTACATCTATTTTTACACCCTTACCGTTTTGGACAATTCTGACGGCCTGGAAGCGTCGTTGGACCGCCCCAGGTCCCGCGGGCACGGGCTACTGGAAGCGTTTTTATGTTCTTTCGATCCCAAGTGGTCGCGAGGTTCTAAAACGAAAAGGAACCCCAGTAGACCGTCAGTTGTGAAAGCAGCATAGGTCACATGGTCACACGGTGGACATTTTCCCATAGGCTGTTTCGGGTTCAACAAGTGATGTTACAAGGGTCACCTTCCGTAATTTTGCGAAGAATAAGTCAGGGAAGAGAGTGAAATAGCCAGTTTTCTTTTGATGTGGCTGAGTCATATACTACAGCATGGCAATGTAGTCTTACAGTTGTTGGTGACCATGACGGAACTTACAAAACGACACTTTAGCAGCTTACGAAACCTAGAAAAACAAAAGTTACATTGACTTATCCACATGAGGACATGGTCTTCGTTTAGTAAAACAAATTTGAATTGCCCAAGCTACCAAATCAACCTCAGTTCAGGCGCAAGGCCCCGGTGACCTGAAATGACCCCCTACGCACGGAATCACCCTGCACTCTCACACTCGTATTGACTTTTTTCTCTCCATGATCTACTTTTTGTCCTTTGCTTACGTAGTTTTTTAAACAGCAATAAAATGTAGTTTTTCCTTTGTAACCCTGTACTGTAAGACTAAGTTGTCATTAGTTATTTACTATTTTTCAAGTCAATCGCGTATTGACTCTTTGTCAATAGCAAATTGACTTGGGGTTAATATAACGAACAGAATCTCGCACAGATGTTGAGGAAATAGTACTTTTTATTGCTGTGTAAAAAAAAACTCTTTAACAAAGTACAAGAAGTCAATAGCAGTCTGAGAGTGTGGGGTTGGCAATAATTTGATCGGTGTCTGCGCAACGCGCGCGGTCAACAGGAGTGCTTCATACATTGAGAATTAGACCAGTCAAAATCATGACTTATATTTTGGGGCTGTAGGAAATGCTTGGCTTGTCCAAATGTTCTTTGAGGTACGCTTATTACCGCATTTAAACGCACAATTCTTTAATCTTTATTTCTTTATTTTTTCGTTTGCTGATTCTAACATTCGGTTTAAAGATTAACAGATGTACCCTTCATCCCTCAAAAAGGGCGATGAAACCACCACTTACTTAGTTTTTCGTGCCTATGCTTCGCTACACAAGTTTGCAAAATTGTTCATGCATGCATTTAAAGGCGTTACACCTAGATAGGTCGGGAAACGTTGAACATCTTTTGAACACAATTAAAAAACATTGAACTTGAACCGCCTCTATGGTTCAGACCTAGCATATACAGCAGAAACTACAAAGCGTAAAAATAAATCGGAGTTTTTTGAACTTTTGTTTAAACATTGATAAGTTGCACTTGGTCTAGAAAGCGCTAGAGAATATCACGCTGCCTGGTAAAAACTGCACTGCACGCTCGATTGGAACCAAATGCTTTTCAATGTGAACCGGTGAATTTTTCATAATTCTGTCGAACCAATATCGGCGGAACGTGGTGGTTGCTGAGGCTTATTGCTGGTTGGAGGAATCAGCAGGAAGAGCGGACGAGCACGGAATTTTGAACCCCTGCAAGCCCCGGAGGGCAGTCAGCCGTCCTACGGTGCAATGAGAACCATGAACGACGGCCACGGCTCTTCTCCTTCTCGCAAAAAACAACAGTAAAAATTGATCATCCCGCGGTAGGCGGTCTCTTCATCACAATCCTGGTACATCCATACTCCCAAGTGAAGCCGTAGGTTTCTTTGAAGCAGGTCCTGGGTGCGGATGTCGTGCAGCCAAGCTTTGTAAGCACTTCTTGTCACAACGAAGAGACAGCTGGGGAGGCGGGGGCGGGATGTGGGTGTCAGCCCCCGCAGAAAGTCATCCTTTGTGAGCAGCACAAAATGATAGCTCACCCCAAGCACGGGGAAACCCGGGGGCAGACAACCAGCCAACTCCATGAGATCTGGGTAAAAACCCCCCAGCTACACAGGTCTAGAGCTTCAAGAAGACTGGCAGAGCGCGTTTTCAGTGAGAGCCTGCAGTGCTGCAGAAGGCAGCTTACGTGTAAAAAACGACTGAGGGAGGCTGCGACGACTGTCGCACGAAGTCCAAAGCCACAGGGTCCGGCGAGCAGGCTAAAGAACGCATTTTTGGGGTAACTTTCCCAACAAGGAACAGACAACCTGTTCAGTGAAGTCTCCCACATCCACTTCTTCCAGTGTAGCAGCAAAGTGTTTCCAGGAGCGAAATAAGAAAAGGGTCCGAGGCACGACGTAGGAAGGGCAGCCCAAGGGATACCCGAGCTTCGTTAGAGACGGCTTCACTGCCAAACCACGACATGGGCCTTGCAGGAGCGTTGCTGTGTCTAAAGAGCAAATCTTGAGTTCTCGTAAACCCTGAAGACTGCAGATGGTATTTAAAACTTCAGTACACCGGTCGGTAAGTCAAGGTGAAGAGAAACATAGAGCGTTTTCAAGCCCCCGAGAGAGTGTACTGTATGCAGAATGTTTGTGGCCAAGGCCTCATCCCGTCCTTTCTAATAGACAACCGCAGCTCAGCTATAACACACGAAGTGGTAGGCACCATGGACACCATAAATGCAAAATCTTCTACATGACCAGCAAGTCTGCCAATGCAGGGGACCAGTCTCAGGACAGCGCGCAGAAGGCCTTGTTCTTGCTTATAGTCATTCCCACCTAAAACTCTAGATCCCCAAAGCACGGCGTCGCCACAGGTCGGGGTGCAGGCAAGTTCTCTGAGGCGGCGGCACAAAAAAAACGAAGGTGAGGAGCTCCCCGGAGGGGAGGAAGGCCAGCACGGCCAAAACGCGTCGTCCGGCAGGGAGAGGAGCTGTGGGCACAATGGCAAGGAGGGTAAGGTCTGCAAGCGCAAGTGTGAGCATGGCACACAAATCAAAAAGCGAGCCTGTTTTGCACATTGTTTAACATTGCAAGAAAAAAAAAACAAAAGTACACAAATTTCTGGTAAATGTTTTATAGGACCGGCATGACGAGTGCTTTCCGGCCCGGGGCCCCGTTGTGGTTTGTACAATCTCATTGTACTTTATACAATCCCTGATGTACTTTAATTGTACAGTTTTCGCTGTACTTTAGTAGTACTATTTTACACTTTTTTGCAGTGTACGGCGTGCCTGACCGAGACTGTATGGGTCCTGCACCCTTTAAAACCCTTTCGAAGTATTTTTAGCATACACAAATTCAACTAATTTACCTTATTATACGAAGAATAGTTCGTTAACTACGAAGTATTTTCTTTGTAAGCTTATGTATGCTCAAATATTTTTATATAACAAAAAACTTCGATTTGTACGGCCTGAAATAGTTTGGAAGTTTTTCTCTGTGTG